TGAGGTCGGAGTTGATTGAACCGGAGCTTAATCCAGGGCAGATTGAGAAGGTTTTCAATTCTTATGTTGCTTGGATCAACACTGTTGAGAATGTGAGTTTATGTTTCATCGTGAGGATGTTCTATAGCTTGGGGATATTGCTAATTTTTGTTTTACTTATTCAGGTTGATTTGGAAATGCATCAGGGGGCGCAGTGGTTTGCGTACTTGAAGCAGCTGCTAAAAATGGTAACTAGACAACGTGATAAGGCAATGATGCTGAGCATCATCGAAGAAGTATGAAAATATCCCTCACCAACGGACGGCCTTGGAAGTAAAGAAAGTAAAAAATACTAACTCTTGCCAGCCCGTCACCCTTCAACTATTCCGCGACCTCTTCACAATCTTCTACGAACCACTCGTCCGTGTCTACAAATCTGCAAACGTCTACAACAGCATAACCGACTTCGCCGAATTTGCCGACGATGCCATCGCCGTCATTGAACGTGCACATCGCCAAGACGTCTCCGCAGACCCCAACCAGACCGTCCAGTCTTTCATAGACCTTTGCGCCCGCCACCAGCACAGCTTCTATAAATTTGTCCACGAGGTCCATCTGCATGATAACGGCCTTTTTGACGCCCTGATGGCCTGGCTGGAGGATATATTGCATTTTTTGCGCCATGGGCCTCAGACTGGGGGAAAATTGGATATGAATGCGTTGTTTAAGGGGGCGGTGGATGTGGGACAGATTGATCCGGAGGTCGCAATTAGAGAAATTGATTCACTGGTTAAGTGGCATGCGGAACGGAAGAAGTGGCATCACGATAAGACGAGACAGAAGATGGCGGCTGAGGGGTCGGGGGTGGGTGCTTCCTCAGACTCTGGACTGCCCGGGAGCACGACGTTTAGGGGGAGTGATTTTGGGTTGGATGAGGTATGGATATACACAATAAATTGTTACCATTCCATCCCTGGATCTGTTTTTGTCACTTTACTCCATTTTTGCTTTCTGGTATTCCTCGATCCGTTCTCTGGCTAACCATTTATTCCCGCTGCTAACAGGCCGACCTCGACGACCTGGCGATCGATGACATTACTTCCAACACTTCCGATGAAGACTCGGCTGACGACGACATGGATCCCATCGCGTTGGAGCGTAAACGTCGCGCAAAGCTCCAGGATAGACTTCGTCGCACCGCAGGGGAACCCGTTAAGCCTGACATCAAGGAGATTTTGAAACTGCGGGAGTCATTTGGGGCGATGTTGAGAATGGTGCTTGATGATTAAAGAGCGTTTTTATCTTGTGTGTGAGCGCGCTTCGTCGTAAGGCTTTGCCAATGCCACCCTTTTGTTGGGTAGTGGGGAATTGGTCTTCTGGCCTTTTGGTTTTGGAAATTTTTTGGCTTCTGATTGCTGAATAATTGGATATCCTTCTGCATGTTCTTGTGTCTGTATTTCCCCCCCCCCCTCTTTTTTTTTTTTATTTTTTACAAAGACAGGAAATGGATATCAATTTTGTTACACATCGATATCGAGAGTGGGCAAGTGGCTTATCCTCGACCATTTCCTTTTTGTTTGTCAGTGTGGCTTTGGTTTTAAGGTCGAGAGATCATTCGCTTGATTTCATATTTAAGTTCTCGACAAGGGAGTTATGAGCTGGCGTCTGGTTGGTTCATTCTTACCATCGACAATGCATATGGATTCACATGGAGTTTCTTCCTGCAGAGCTCCCAGATTGTTTTTCCCCCCCTTAATTGGTTGAAATATCGCCGGGCCATTGCATCATGTAATTATACTTGTTCCTAATGTCTTCATTCTTCGCGGTTTTATTCTATGGTTGTAACCTTCATAGACTGTTCTGTGTACATGTGATCTGCTTCTATTTCCTTTAAGTGTACTCATATTTAAATTTTCACGCATATATGCTATCTTTCGCTATGAGAACTACATTACTCTTCCCATATGTGTTCGGGAATATGTATTGCGGAATAAGACATGATGACGTGTGTGGCATAGATGGAGAGTTAGGAACAGTGGGATCTTTCGTGTGATTTGCATATGTAAACCAGGTAACTTTCGGTTTTCCTGGGCGTCACCTTTCTTGTGCTTCATTCTTCATATGTATATATGGGTAAATACTACTTAAGAGCTACCCCATTGAGCGTGCTTCATCTGTTTCACGGTGAGAGCTTCACGCGGTGCAGTTAATGCCAAGACATATATAGTGTTGTCTTGAGGCTAATTTAGAGTTTGGCTAAAATAACCTTAAGTTGAGTGGGTTCCTCGGTTGACTTTTGTTTATTGCTTGTTTTGAATTTTCCGGGGAATTGGTTTCCCTTGGCAACAACCTCCGCTAACAAAGTACCACACCGTCCACAGACCTCAGATCACCAAGCCAGCAAAACGTCACACTATCGTTTGTCCGTGGACTCCTTGTGTGGGTTGAATCTGGCTTCTCGTTTTGATATATTATTAAAATATTCTATTTGCTTTGAACGGAATGGCGGGATGGTGAGGCTGAGGGATATGCAGGCCTCTCAACTATCCAGCCGAGTTGTCGCTCCTCCCATCCGTCACATTTGACCCTTCTTCTTTTTATCACCTCGATCTGGCATCTTGACCACTCTTGAACACGCCAAAATATACATAGTATGTATAGACCTCCACCAACCACACCATCAACGAGAGACGCAAAAAACCAATCCGGCCCCACCCCGCTGGGCCTCTCCACCCCTAGTCGCAGAAGTTCCGTCCCGCTCCGCGGGCTATTCGTCAACGCTGTTTGGTATTGTAACTGTGAGCCTCGCCGGCCGGCGGACCATTTTGAGACGAAGAATGGGGGAAGGAATCATGGACGGTGGTGTGAGTTAGCTGTTTCTGTTTGTCTGCTGTTAGGGTTTCGTGGTATCTGCATTTTTAAGCAAGGGATGAATGCTTATCAATATTGCATCTTAATAAATACAGTCTACACATGCTCGAAGCCACAAGGGAAGCGATGTAACTTTTTCCTTTGGGATGATGAAGCAGTGGCTCGGGAGGGGAATATGATGAGCGTTTTGAAAGATATGCCCATGAGCAAAGGCACAGGCCCAGGCACAGGCCCAGACACAGGCACGGCTCCAAATAACAAAGGCTGTATATTGTCAACGGACAACCGGAAGTTAATGAACACAATGCCGACGCAATCATTATTTCAGGTCTCCATTGATACCAGGACGGGATTGCTGACGCCTAATTCCGGGAGGAAGAGAATTCGAGATTATGAAGGGGATGGTTTCCATGGCTTCGATAGTGGGAGAAGGACAGGGCCACCAAGTAAGAGGAGGATGAATGAAAATATAGCTGTTAAGAGAGAAGAAAGTGACAACGATGGCTCGTTTGGTTGGGATGATGATTTGGAAGGAAGCGTTGTTCAACAATTATCGAATCAAGATTTTTCACAGCAGAGGGGACCGCAGGAGCAAATACAGGGGCATCAACAACCGCGGCAAGAAGAGAATGTTCGACCGAGAACTCCACGTAGAAGTCCTGGTTGGTTTCGGGATGGTCAGGGGCTGTTTTGCAGCGAGGACGACGAGGGCGGCGACGAGGGTGCCGATATCGATGACGATAATGAAGTACATATTCGACAAAATGCAGATCTAGTGCGACGAAATGATCCATTTGGCCCCACCAGCTCGTCGTCTAAATTATTCATGCATCATAATCAACCTGCCAGAGCCTCTCCTCCCCGGTCGCCTTCTCGGTTCTCATCACCACAAACTATCTGCAGCACTTTTACGCGCAGACAGAATACCAGTGCAACTCCATCTCGCACAACCGTATGGGACGCGTTCGAACTTGCAACACCGTCAACTCCCACACCCATCCGCTTCGATTCGACAACTCTTCTTCACCTCGATAATCAGCGGTCACCTCAGGCTACTGCCCCATCCGCTCCCTCTATCACTACGTCCGCCACTGGGCAAAAGCCAGGCACAATCGTCTCCCAAACCCTCGCCGTCCTCTCCAAACACAAAGTTTACATGTCCCCGGCTGCAAAGCAAGAGCTGGTGGCACTGCTGAATACTCACCATTTGCGGACCCAGGGGATTACAAAAGGAAGGGATATTTCGCGAGTTGCGATTCAAAGCAGAGATGCACAGATTCAACGGCTGAAAGCGCGGATTGAGGTGCTGGAGGCGGAGAGGGAAGGGTTTAGACTTGGGAGGTTAAGAAGAGACCTACCTAGATATGATCATCTGGATATGTTGGAGCAGGGAGACGATGGATAGGTAACTTGGGTCGAGGTATTTGCTATTCCTCGTTTGCGTCCGCCACTTTGCTCTATTGATAACATGTTTGTGCTATCTCTCAATCTTGTCTTTGTTTTGTTTTGTTTTTTTTTTTATTTTTTTTTATTTTATTTTATTTTCACTTTTGGTTCGAGATACCCCTCCTGTCTCAGCTTGACAGCTGTTGGAGATTTGGATCCAATGACCCGCCCGAGTCAGTAGGTTGTATATATGTGTGTCAGAGCGAATTCACCGAGTTTACATAGTTTAGCTTATCGGAAGAAATATATTATTTCCCCAACAATCCTTCCGTTCCATACTTTCCACTTCTCCACTCCACTGGCCCCACTAAAACAACGTTAGAATCAGCGGTTCCTATCGCAGTTGTGGAGACTGACAAGATAAACCACGTGATATCGCGTCGACCAAAGGTTTTTTTTTTTTTTTCTGTCAAAAAATCATCAACAACATTTGGATAGAAGCTTCAAGAAGTGCCAGAACAGCCCATATATTATTCAATCCCAGTCTTCATCACAATCAATCCCCAGATATACAGGTGGTTAGGCTGGGGCTTATATACATGCCCACATAACGGTCTCACCACAGTTTATCACCATTGCCGTCCTCTTATTCCCCTTGCGACTAACTAGGTTTGATTTGAAGAGAGAGATCTCCCGGCCTTCTACCCTCTCTAAGACCCCTTTGCCTTCTTTACACAGATTATAGGAAAATAAATGCGACTTAGATGGAACAGATTGCCACCACGAAGCTTCCCTCCGTCTTGACTCCTTCTCCCATTCCCAACCCCATCGCAAAGACCTCCCCTTCCCCTATAACATCACACACGACCGCCGACGCCCCCACCGACTCCGAATTAGACATGTTTCGCCCACCAGTTAATCGTATGATGCGGACCCTCGACCGCTCCTTTTTCCAAAAAATAATTCCCCTCTCCGCCGCTACCGTCTTCGACAAAAAGGCTATAGGCAGCATAAAAAATGAGCTGTTACAGAGCAAAGACTTGATCTTTATGAATCGCATTATACCTGTGCGCATCGCGCGGGAGGGCCCGTTCGAAAATGTTGTAGATCATTGGTATGGGTCCAAAGAAGGCAACCAGACAGGGAGGAGATGTCTATTGCTTAGAGAAGGTATTAAGGCTGATGGTATGTTATCTTTGTTCGTTCACGTTATATCTTCTGTGCCGTATTGTGTATGCAATATGCTGACTATCCGCGCCCCTGAATAATAGACACAACAACCTGGTCTCCTACCATTCAGCGGCTGGTGGAGGCAAAATCCGTATCCGTTCATCCGTTCAATGTACTACTCGATTACGATTATTTCACCTACAGTACGTCTGTTTTTCTTGTAGTGATAGGATAACGGGAAATGCAGTGACTAATACTCGTTTTGTGTATGTATAGAGGATATAGTTGATGCTATACTTCCGGATACTGAATTGGATGAGGTTCCCGTTGGCTTTTCTCAAGTTGGACATGTTGGTACGCTCTCAAAAAAAAAACATTCCGCTTCGATCTTGCGGTTCCCCAGGTGTTAATTTCCTTGTACAGCGCACTTTAATCTTCGGGAGCAATATTTGCCATATAAGTATTTGCTTGGAGAAATTCTAAAGGATAAACACAGCAATGTTCGAACAGTCATTAACAAAACCGATGAAGTCGGGTCGCACAGCGAATTCCGCACCTTCGGATACGAAGTGCTTGCAGGAGAGGACGACATGTTCGTTAATGTACGCGAGCAAGATTGCGACTTCGCCTTCGACTACTCAAAAGTCTACTGGAACACCCGCCTCAGCACTGAGCATGAGCGCATTGTCAGCAAATTCAAGAAGGGTGAAGCTGTCTGCGACGTCATGGCTGGTGTGGGTCCATTCTCGATCCCCGCAGGAAAGAAGCAGGTCTTCGCCTGGGCCAATGATCTGAACCCCTACGGCTACCAGTGCTTGGAACATGGCATTGCAAAGAACAAAGTCGCAGAATTCGTACAAGCCTACAACATGAACGGTCGTGATTTCATCCGCTATGCCACTGAACATCTTTGTAACCAGTACCCGCGAACCGTCAAACACCGCATCAAGATACCCAAGGCTGAGCGCGAAGACTACGCCGAAATCCGCCAACTAAAACCAAAATCTTTCGTCACTGAGTACATAAAGTGTCCTCGAACCTTCGACCACTTTGTCATGAACCTCCCCGCCACTGCCATCGAGTTCCTCGACGCCTTTATTGGCGTCTATGCAGGCCTGCAAGAACTTTTCCAGCCATATTCCAACCGCCAACTTCCACTCATTCATGTCTATTGCTTCTCGACGAACAGTGAGGATGAGGCGATCGAGCACAAGGACATTTGCCAGCGCATTTCTGAAAGGATCGGGTACACAATTTCATCTGAGGATTGTGAAGGTGGCACTGGGGATCAGGAGCGGGAGCTGGAGATTCGGGACGTGAGACTTGTGTCGCCGACGAAGAAGATGTTCTGCGCCAGCTTTAGATTACCTGCTGAGGTGGCGTTTAAGAAGGCTTAATGGTGAGCCATGGTGGTCATGGATATAAGATTTTAATAATAATAGACATGGACGGCTCCTTTGGGGAGCATTACCTCTTTTCGTATTTCTAGTTGGAATTTCAGGCACTGGAGGCAACTTTTGTGTGACCTTTTATATATATATATTCAACACTTGTATTATACAGAGGTTACAGACACAAAGGAATACTCGTTTACTCCTTTCATAAATACTAGATATCCCGCACACAAATCCCTTTTCGGGTTCTCGCTTATCAAGTCGGAAATGACCAACCAAAATCATCTAGGGCAGATTGTTTCTTGTCCTGAATATCCTTTAAGCATCTACCCAAAGACACTTCATAGTCAGGAGAGAGTGGAAGGGAAAGAAAGTGCTATGCAATCGTCATTCGCTGTGGTAATAATGGATTCGTCAATCCATTACTTTTAACGCATCCGTTCCTATTTCCAACACCATTCATTTTCTTGGTTCTAGGCTCTCAATAGTATGGAATCGTGCTGCAACCCAGTTAACGGCAGATGGATCCAATAATAACCCACAGTGTTAAAAGATTTTACCGACCAATCGAGGAAGCCATGTTGAAATTCCCACGACCTAGTGAATTTGCGAAGTTGTCTTCGGTAGTTACATTGCTGGCCCAGGGTTAGGTAAGCTATGTAATCCGGACTCGTATCGTTGGTAAGACGTGGGCAAAATAGAACGGGTTTTCGGACGTCAAAGCTATCAATCACATCCTCAGTCGCCACACTTCACAGAACTTGAGAACGAGACCGGTCGCACATTTGGATTCATCATCTTCATTCACTCAACAGAAGGTTTTTTCTCTAAACGCAGTGCTTTTTGTGACTCTCACTCCACGAAATTTCTCAGTTTCGTCAATTCATCCAGTAACTCTTGAAGTTCGGTGTCTGAGATTTTGTTCCCTATGCTAGGAATCAGGGACTTGGCTTCTTCAGCATCATTGCAGCAGAGACTTCCTATAACAACGGTTAGTTTTTTTTATTTATATATATATATATATAGGATAATATCTCTACGAGGCAAAGAGCATATACCTAGTTGCGACCTCTCAAAAAATTCCAGCTCGGTGTGCGCAGACAGAAGACGTTCAACAGCTTCGATGTTCTCCTTCTCCTTGAATCGTGCGAAGAGCTCCAGGTAATCTTGCGTTTTAACCAGTGTCCTAAATGCAGGGTGTAAAGGTTAGCAAAACACGCCCGTGTTGTCCACTCATTTAGCCAGTGGGCTTTTTATGTGCTGAAATCATTCCATCCGCTATCTCTCCAACGCACAGAACACCACAAGCCGAGATGAAAACACCAAGAAAGGCTAGGTGTAAGATAGGGAGGAGCAACATACTCCCTCTCCTCAAATTTATGTTCACCCTTCCTTCTCAGATCCAGCACCTTATTAATAACCAACCGGGCCTCCGATAACGAGAGAGTCGGCACGTTCTGAAATTCGCCCAGTTTAAGCTGCGAGGTGGCTTCCAACTCGTTCTGGGGGAGCTCGCGCTTTCGATGCGTGGGGTCTGGAAGAGGTGTGGAGGAGGAGGTTGTCATTTTGGTATCTTTCTTTGGATATCGCGGTCACTGCCCTCTGCTGAGAGTGGGAGGGAGTCGAGCGTTGGTATTTATGTATCCGTTTATAGCACTGAAAGTGGAGTACTGTTCGCTTTTATTCCTTTCGCGGCGGAATCGCGTGGTTCTGCTGCTGCCTCTGGTGGACAGGTGGTAAAAACCCTTTGCTGCGTGAAGTGAATTGGAGACTGGAGGTTCGAGGAAGATGGATTCTAAAAGGGATCTTGGGCGGAACCTGCTTTGGGACTAGTGCGGCTACATAATTTAGTGTGAGAGCGCAAGCTTTTTCCTTTTCACGCTAGCCCCATTTAGGCCTAGCCCATCCACCCATCCATGCTGGTGAATCTTCGCTGCATCGAGAAAAGCTCTTATTTATGTTTTTCAATTCCTGTGGGATGGATGATCTTGTATTGGGAGGAAAATTTAGCAGTCAACATACAATGGTACGCGGAATCACGTGGCGGAGCGGCCGCTCGGGGCGAACGACGTTCTCTCCTACGCCCCAAAACAATTTCGCTCTTTAACGTAGCTCACATTTAACTTTAACATCACGTGATATAAGGTTTAATACAACTTCTTGAGGAACAGTTGATGCTCTGTCCTTGGAACTGGTCGACAGGCAATGAAATTTATCTTGCAGAAAGGATGCCTAATATAGCACGCGAAAAACGGGAAACATCGGGAAACATAGGTAGGGGAGTAAAAACCAGAAGAAAACTTGTTTTAATCAAGCTAATGGTATATAAAACACGGATATACTAGAAAAATAATCGGATAGAAGATACGTTGATGAATATTAAATGAATTTTTTTGCATAGACTTTGGAAGAAGGAAAAGAGGTGAAGAAAAACGGAAATGAAAAAGTTAAAAAGATAGAAATTGGGATAAAAAGCCGAATAGGAGAAAAGGGAATAAAGTAACGGCCGAGATTATGTTAAAATTGGGGGAAATGGCGCTCGATGCTCACCAGTTAGGTGGCGAATAGTGCAAAGCAAACATGACCTAATGTCAAATCAGTCAAACCAAATGTGAGAGCAGGCAGTAATAGCAAACTCGATTCTTAAAAGATATGCTGGAATGTGAAGAGAAGAAAGAGGAACAAAGGAGATCATGGTGGTTAGGGTAATCTTGGGTAGGGACAAGAGATAAATAATAAGAGTTGAAAGAATCAAAGTAATGGCGGTAAAAAAGAGGAAAGAAGTGTAACACCAGTGTCAAGCCAAAAGCACTCAAAGGGAGAAAATGGAGAGAGTAGAGAAAATATAAGAGCTTCTACTTCTTGGGTATTGAGAGGAGGTGAGTGAATTGGATATGGAAGTTCATGATCCCAGGGGGTAAGTAGAAAGTTGGAGCACAACAAGGAGGCGAGATATGTTTGTATGTACCGTAGTAATCGTAAGATGAAAACGCTTGGCGTTAAGAAAAGATAGAAGCAGAAAACGCTCACAAACGCGGGGACTTGATGATCAGGTCCCATCCAATATTTTAAGTTTTCCTCTTTTCGTTTTTCTTCCTCACCGCCAGACCTGTCAGATCAGTTTAATAAAAAAAAATAAGGGTCTTTTTCCTGTGCTTGCAACGAAACGCTCGCAAAAAAAAAAAAAAATAAAGATAAAATAAAACAAAAATAAACAAATTAATATAAAAACAGGATAACAGAGGAGAACAGATCTCAACACCATTCATTCCTGATTGAAGCGAAAAAAGAGGAAACAAGAGAGAAAAGAAAACCCAATTAGGAACTCCCATTATAACCAAAAGACACACGAGGTGATGATAGCTAGGCCATAGAGGTTCGTCCGGTTATGTCGCAGAAGCTAGAAATAATTCACCTCGCGCACAGGAGTAGTTGAAAGAGGAGGGGGGGGGGGGGGCGGAAAAAGAAAAAAATCAGCGGAGCGTTAAAGCATGGGACCAGCAGCGGCAGCTGGTCGCTGTCTGGACGCCAATTGCTGCTGCTGTTGCTGTTGCTGTTGCGGATTCAGTTGTTGTACTGGCTGGCCCGATGGGCCCTGGCTTGTATACGAATCTCCACTGGCACTCCGACCAGGGAACTGAGGCGGGCGTTGGCTGCCGTAATCATATTCAGGCGGCGATGACGCCTGCTGTGGTGAGGCTGGGCCCTGTGCTTGTGAGGGAGCTCCAGGCGCAGGCGGCTGTACGTGTCGAACGGAGCTCTGCATCTGCCATGCGTTGGCTTGAGATGGATCCTTGTCAATTCGCGTGGCGACGGGTGGGTTTACTGCACGACCTGACCCGGTTCGTACTGGGGTAGCTGCCACGGTGGTAGGTGCTCGTTGCGGGGTGGCTATTTTGCCTATATCCCCGTATCTTTTAAGGATTTCTTTCGTTGTGATTTCGGCGCTGCCGTTGAAAAGAGTCGAGTCTGTCAGGATGGATTGGAGGTCTTGCGGAACCTGTTAAAGAAGAAAATTAGGTTAATGATGAACACGGTGCGCATGCACATTTCGGCGGGTTTGCTACACTCACCTCACACATGCTATCGTTGTATTCTATCAATGTGGTGACGGCTTCGATTGCCAAGAAGCTATCCTCCATACCCGCCGATTTCTCTCTTCCGTAAAGGATGTTAGGAGTCATAACAGTTGCAATATTGTGGACGTCCATTTTGCTCCCGGATTCTTCATCGACATGGGAGAAAGATGAAGCCCAGTTCAAAAATGAGAAGAGAACTTCCATGGTATCACGATGCGTTTTGGGTAAAAGGCAACATGTCAAGTGCAGAATCCGCCGTTGCTTTTCGGGATCCGATACTTCTACATGATCTTGTTAGGAGCTAATTAAAAAAGAGCAACAAGAGCGCTGTTTCCCTTTAAAAATGGATGAAGAAGCAACTTACTTTGTGAAATAAGGAATAGACGATGTAACTTGAACGTGAGAAGAGGATCAGGCATCTCCCGAAGGAATTTCTTAAGCAACGCAGCAATCTGAACCGGATTTTCCTTATTAAAATCCGCCTGTTCATACCTCGTATCTACAATCTCCGAAGTCTCCTTGAGTCGTTTTATGTTACCATTTTTCCGGAAAACGCCCTCGACTGACATATCCATCTGTCGCATGGCAGATATGGCATCATCGAGGAAAGTAGGTATACGCAAGGTACCAGGACCAACGCCATGTGTTGACTCCGTCCCATCTTTCTCAATAAGCGCATCCAAGCAGACACCAAAGACACCCTTCTTCTTGCCACCTTTACGGCCATCGTTCTTAAACGCTCTCCCAAATATGTTCCAGATAGTAGGCTTTCTCGACTCAATAAGCCCAAGAAGCTCCTCCAGATTGAAGTGGCCTTCAAGAAGAGGTTCCATAGACAGAACGGCAACGTGGCGGACAATAAAGTATTCCAGCGCAGACAATTCCGAAAAGTACTTCGTGGTTCTTGGAGCTGTGCCACCCCTAGCATCGCCAGGACCGGACACCTCCCGTTTATGACCATTTACAAGTTTGGCAGGCCGCCCACCAGTTCCAACAAGACTAGTCCCTGCATGACGGAATGCATTAGGCCGCTGCTCCTTTGCTTGCTCAGCAGCTACGATCCTCGGAATATCATCCAAGGTTAGTGCATCTTGGTTTCCGAATGTCAGATCTGTAATTGATTCGCCAGCGGCATCCTTTTCTTCAACGATCTGGAAACCTGGATTCTTGACTTCCGGTCCACTGGCGCTGGGTGAACCTGGTCGCGCAGATCTGCCCTGAGGACCATCGATGATCCGCGAAGCTCGAGCTCTCTTAAAAGTTGTGGAGAGTGTTCGCTCCGTTCGGGTTGAATGGAGTCTTTTTATCTCACCAACGGTTTGTTCCAGGGAGGATGATCCAGTGTTCTCATCAGACACGCCTGCCCCGTAGGATCTCGATCGAGTATTCGATCGCTGAGGGGTCTGGAGTTCCCCGCTGGGTGATATCCTATGACCATCATTGGCTTCATAGTTCTTCAGATTCGGATCGTCTGGATTCAAAGGAGTCAGCAACAAGTCCACACATTTTCTTTTCTTTTCTTTCTCTCTTTATCAAAATAGTCAGAAAAAGGAAGAGAATGGATGATAAATTACCTGACGTATGTGGCAGAGTGCCACCCGACCGTAAAACAGATAGAAGCCTTGCAAGAGCCACCTGCAGCAGGAAAACATACTGCTGCAACTTGGTAACATAGGAAAACCCTTTTTGACCACCTGGAGCGTGGCCTTTTTGTTCAGCACATGTACGGCAGAACGGTCGATCCTTTTCCTCACTCCACCGTGCCTCCAACAGGTCCATCGTCAAGTCATTTTGGCAAGCACCGCAGACAAGGTGGGGGGGTTTTAAATGCCATCTTCGATGTCCCAGAATGATACACTCGTCGTCAATGGGCTCTTTGCAGGCAGCACAGCAATCGGACTGCTGGTCCGAGAGGCGTGACATGGAATCTGTGAGATTGGCAGCCGAAATAGCGTCCACATCACCCAAGGCGTCAAGCTTCTCCAAGAACGTGTACAGCTCGTCCGGGTTGTCGCTCTCCCTTTCCAGTTTCAAGGCCCCCTGTAAACCGATCCGAATCAGAAGTTTCAAATAATGGGCAAGGCCAGTCACAAGTGCAAGTAGCTCTTGTGTGACGCCAAGTTTCCTAACGCCGGTCTCCTGAGTTTTGGAAAGCAATGCGAAAAATGCGACAATTTTTTTGCAAAGAAGTTTTGCTTCTCGACCATAAGCCAGATCTAGAATATTCGGGTTGATTAGAGCGTTGGAAGAACAAAGAGTTAAGAGCAAGCAGCTGGCACTCAGCACTTACCTTTCATCTTTCTAGATGATATAGCAACAGCAAGGCTATCCAGAGCTTTGAAGAGGATATCCACATGGAAGATAAACCGTTTCGCAACGACCACGCCATCAACGTAAGCGCCATTGCTAACATGTAATAACATGTCCGATATGCAAGCAGCAGAGGATTCTTCGAAAGTGGACAGCACGCTCCAAATCCGGTAGACTTTCTCCTCCATCTTATCTTCTTGCCTCCTGATGAATTCACGATCCTCATCCGTCGCCTCGATATCTAGTTCTGGACGGACAAACTCCTGGCCGTTTGGAGCAAGCCGGACGTTCCAGAACTTGTGAATCATATAGCACTCCGGATGCCAATGCTGATTCTGGCCATTGCGGAAGATCTCGACGAACTGCTTTAAGATAGCCGTTTGGCAGCCATTACATCGCTGCGCAAACTGGGTGGAGTAATGATAATGACAGTATACTTTTTCCTCGTGCTCATAATAGCTATCCTGTGCTCCGAAGACAGTTGGACAAACGGAACAGGTGAAATGTTCGATGTGGTATTTGCGATTCAAGGCAGTAATGTATGACCCGCGGAGAGCACCACCACACTCATAGCAGAGAAGATTAAGGCGTTGAAAGTAATCCGTCTCGCAGAGGGGATACTGACCACTGCCATCCTCAGCATCAAGCGGAAAGAATTTAGACGCGACGACATCACCGCAGTCCTATTTTATGAAAAGGTTACGTTAGGCAGGCATATCAGTGCAGCAGTCTAGAAAGGAAGAAGATAGTTAACTTACATTGCACTGGAAACATTCTAGATGGAATGTACCACCCAATGCCCGTACAAACTGACCCTGTAACGGTTCCTCGCATCTTCTGCACGTCCTGGAGGTGCCACCAGGAGACTTGCTGCCGGATCCTCCATTCTGAAGAGACCGATCACGTGTGCCTGATCCGCCCTGTTGATTATGGGAGGAATGTTGTCCCCGGCCCGTGCGAATATTAGGTGCATGATAAGGGTCGCTATCGAAGGCACCGCCGCCAATGGACGGTGAGTTGTTCCACGGAGCCCCTGTCCCACCGCCGGAGGGACTTGGAACATCGGTTGGGGAATGGGTCTGGCAGGTTTCGCCGTACATGCCCGGGTCACCTAGATTAGCGGGCTGCTGGGCTCCATTCCTAATCCCATTGCCCGGGATTAGGTCTGGAGGGAGCGCACGCGGATCAGCAGGAGGCATCTCCACGCCCGCCCAGGTAGATATTGATTATTTGATCCTTTCACGCGAAAGCAAAAACCTCATGCAAATCTCTCTCCTATCCACCAAATGCGCAGCAGGATGTGTTTTTAAATTCGAAGGTAGAGTCGAGATAGTTCTTAGGCTGAGGATTCGTAGGCGAGAAAGTGAAGAAGCAGGAAACGCGGGGGTTGGGGGGGGGGGGGGGGGGGGGGGAACCTTGGCAAAATGAGGCTGCTAGGAAACGGTGAAAGAGAGAAAAGGCTATATTGGGAGAGAACACAGCGGGTATCACAGTAAAATATCGTGAGGGAGGATAGAAGTATCAAGACCAGAAGATTAAACTGGGTGATTGGAAAGAATTCGCAAAAGGCTTGTCGTGGGGAAGAGCTTTGGAGATGATGGGCTTGTTAGGAGGAGATGGATGGTCAATTTCAGTTCGACCTCGTATATTTAGTCGGGCTTCCCTCCAGCGGGAAAAACGAGACCAGCCACCACCACCAGCGCTAGAGAGTTCTTAGTTATCGAAAGACAAGAAGGAGAGAAGACAATCGGAGACAGCAGCGCCCGAACGCCTTGGAGCAGCAAAGCTGCGCAGAAAAATAAGGTTAAGGAGGCCTCAAGAGGCAGAGCATCTGACGAGGGTGGTTCAAGTTCGCAGGGATTATAATAAAACGGTGTGGGGTGATGGTTAGGCTGTGCAGCAGCAAGAGACGTGGTGGACTTTTTGGGGTGTAGCAGGGCGAGTCAGAGAGCGACCAACACGCAGCGAAGCAGCTTGGCCCGCAGACAATTGACCAACATCCCCTGGTGCATCAGCAAACCAGGACGAGAAGCAGAGTCGTGAATGCCGTGGAGGCGGGAGACGCGACCGGGGAGCGGGTAGAGGAGAGAGAGCAACGAAAAAGAACGGAGAGAGCGATAGAACGAGCAAAGTGCAGACCACATGCAAACAAGAGCCGCTCTTTTCGAACCGAAGCGAGGAGAGGGAGAGGGAGGAGAGATGAGTGGGAGGTTCAAGAGGGTTGGTTGACTGCTGGCACGGGCTCTTTGTTGTTTGATTGACGCCCCCCTACAGAAATTCACGGACGGATGTTTTCTTTGGTTGTCTTTGGTTGTTCTTTGTCTTTGGGTTGTCGCTGGCCTTTGGGGCTCGGGGCTTGGGGCCTGAGGCTGGAGGCTTGAGGCTGGAGGCTGGGACGGCGCTGGGCGGCACGTGACCTGAGAAGTAGCGCCTGGGACTGCCACCACCATCTTGCATCGTCGACGTGGAAGGCAATAATAATATAGAAGAAGATAGAAGATGAGGAGGGGAGGTTTCAATTGGCGAGATTAGTTAGTAGAGATTGGGCGTGTTTAAAAAAAGCAGTGTGGGGAGACGAGTATGGGATGGTTGATGTTTGTCATGCATTTGCTTCTATCATTCTATCAAAACATTCTGAAGGAATTGGATAGCTACTCTAGTTATTCCCGTGGTCAACTGCGAATATCTAGACTGTCCCGTTCCTATCTTGAATCCCAGGTACCATATATACTCGGTCCCGGGAGATGAGAGATCTTGATCCCATCACTGATCTTCTTACAGAGACACAACATCCCACATACTTGATAAGAAAAGCTTCCTTATATACCTTGACTATGCGTTAAATATTATCCCAGAGCCAACCAATCCCAATGTGACCAGTCCAGTGTGCAGGAATACAATTGAACAAGGTTTTAAATTCGGCTGGAAAAGCCGTTGGCGGGTTTAATGCTATCAACCGTGACAACCCCGTCTGTGAGATACCCTATGGGAGGTTATGACTCGTGGATGTAGTTTCAATGGGGATCTTCTATATGGCTTCTTTGACGCCAGTGATTTTTGTCATACTTCTCGGGTTTCCTTTAGCCTTAAACTAACAAGTTAACCCAAATCATAAAACCCCCTAATCTACCCTTAACCTCAGTGTTGAATAGAGTTGTATTAGTAATATGTGGGGTGAGTGTGGAGATACGGAGCACAGTTGAATGGGTTTGAAAAGGGTGATAACATGGTTCTAAAAGTGGGGCCCAATACTTTCATGATCAACTCTGTAACAGCAAGTCAACTGCTGAAAACCCTCTGCATTATTCACCACAAATAAAATGTTCTCTTCCACCTTCCACCACTAGGGTTAGGGAAATGGGTTATGGGGTAGGGATTCGGCTTAGCCAAGGCCAAGGGTAGAATCTCCAAGAGATGTGCAGGCAATGACTAAATGTGATGTAGTTTTGAATGGCTGGGGAGTCGCCAGAGTTTAACCATAAACACCACCAACACGGAAGGTTTTTCCGGGAGTTACAGTTGGCCTTGTTTTATAAGAGTGGTTGCCCCGCTTTTTAAACCACAGTCAAAACTCTTTTTAATACCACGTTCAACTGCAACCCCTGAACTGCCCGCATGTCTATCCCCAATTTATCCTGATTCAGGAAACCCACGCCTCTGCATCTCTACTGATTCACTAACCACCCGCACATATAGATGTTAAATATAGACACAAGGGGACAGGGGACAAGGAACAAGGAACAGTTTGAGATCTCAGCAGAGTTAAGCTTTAGCTTTAAGAACTTAAAACGCAAGGAGAAACAGGAAATGTTAGAGAAGTTGAGTTTATTGACTAGTACATAACTAGTTAGTTTAAAAGTATGATACCTAATTATCAAATCGGAGTGAAAAGATTCCTCAGAGCCCGGATGATTCCCATGAAACCCCAGAAACCTTAAATCAATAAACCCACAACAAATAAAAAATAATCCAACCAAGTTCCAGACAGGCCAGCTGTTTCAAAAAGAGGAAAACATCCTCTCTGATCTTATTCCTGTCCGCAAAATATACTGAACCCCATGCGATCCACGAATCCCTGAAGGGGAGAGGGAAAAGAACCCTCCATTTCGATTGAGTCATAAAGTAGCAAAAGTTCCCTCTGCCTTATTAAAGCACTACCAACCCTACCCTCAAGATCTTTTCCTAAGTACCCTCTTCCTGGTCCCAGCCGATTCCGTCGTCTCCAGTGTCTTCGCCGCAGCCGCGCTCGCTTTCTTAGCTGTGGAAGTTGCAGTCGGAGCCTGGCCACGCGGGACAGCAGCTCGTTTACTCGTTGCTGCAGAAGCCTTCTGGGATCCGGCCGTGCCCCTTCTCATCATCTTCACAACCGTCGTTCCCGATGACGTATTAGAAGCCGTAGAGTCCGCACTATTCCTCCTCGTGTTCCTTTGCCGCGTAGTAGGGCGCGATGGGGGTGCTCTGGTTGTAGTTGTGGACGCAGTGGATTTGGCAGTAGTCTTCCTCCGCGTGCCAGTTGCATCGCTATTGGGCGAAACCTTCCTTGTTCCAGCTCCTGCAGCTCCTCTAGTGGCTCTTGTGCTTGCATTCTCAACCATGGCAGTAAAACCAGGACCCGCTGACTTCATGCAACTCGCGGCTTTCAGAGGCGATGACGGACGCAAATTGCTAAGATGCTGTTGTGATTTGCCAGTTACATTGCGCAGCGGAGATTGCGGGAATGTCCTGGAATTGGAAGATTTCGGCGACAAGACGCCCGTCTCCGTGAACTGAGATAGAACTCGAGGATGTCCTGGGTGTGCATTAGGCGTGCCCCGCTTCTTCGGGTTTGATAGCGGCACATGCACAGGATCCTGGAAAGGAGCGTTTTCTTTATCGGACGCGAGCATTACATCGCTGACCACAGTTAGGAAGTACAATTATTTAAATTAAAAAAAAGGCGGACTCAAAACCACAATAAAATTACCTTGTCCGCTTGACCCCCCGAGTCGTTCGAGTGGTGGACACAGCGGCATTGCCAGTCTCTGAGGTTGCAGTGGCCTTGCTTGACTTGGCAGTTGCTTTGGACATTTTCGCTGCGTCATCTGCATTGGTTGATTCTGAGTGTTTTGCAAGCAATTCACCTATATTGGCCTTTCGTAGAGCCATGGGTATGCGGTTTATGCGTCTCTCAATCCGTCCGCGGAGGTCTTGTGCTTGTAACGCGTATTGTGCACGTAGTTTTCTCGCGCGTTCAGTGACTATTGGATCTCAGTTAGTCGACACCCCCTTTGAAAATGGGAAGAGCAGGGAAGTGAATCACCCATAACATACTTTCCAGTTGTAGGTTATCTATTAGGGCTTGTTTCTGGTTATGTGTGATTTTGAGTCTCTTCCTGGTTGGGCTTCCTGTTGGCGTTCGCGGCGCAGGACTGTCATAGTGGTCGAGCGTGTGGCTGCTGCTAGGCCCGGGGGATTTGCATTTTTTTGAAACATTTGCCATTTTTTACTATATTTTTATTGCAGCAGCAAATTCTTTTTATCGTGTGGGAGTCAGATGTGATTTTGGACGAGGAGAACGATACGTTGAAACCATTAGACGTGTTGGAGTTTTGGATTTCGAGTCAGCCTACAGAAAGCCGCGGGACTGCTGTAAACAAATCAGAAGAAGCTAGTGTGGAACGAAACCACAGAGCAACTTCCAACCCCCCGTGATGTATTATGTCATCACTAATTGGGCTCCAGGTTCGACTTCGCTTTTTTGACTTGAATAGTCTCCATGCCATTCGACAGTTGGACGAGAATCTGATTCATACAGGGAGGGCCCTTTAAGTCTTACATTTGAAAGCCCACAGGTTTGCTTGGAGAGAGAAAGCGACTTCATCTTCAATGCGTGTTTGTCGTCGTTGTTTGTATGGAGCCCATTTGCTGCATATGGCGCTAACCCCAATCTAGACAGAAATCTATTCCCGCCAGAAACGGCAAGGACCAGGCCACGAGCTTCCTTCCATCTTCACATACCGTATTACCTAATTCATCAACTCCAACCTCCGCATACAAATTGATATATTCCTATGCCCTAGAGAGATCACATATCTCACAGACACATCGTATCCATCCAAAGCCATTTCCCTTTTTCCCCAAGCAACAACAGCTCCGGGTGCCACCCCCAGCAAAGATGGTGCTCGAAGCCACGATGATCATGTCCGTCAGCTAGTCTCCCCCAATACCAGCCCGCCGGAGCTATCAGCTAATATAGAAACATTCAACCCAACAGCGTCGATAACAGTGAGAGCAGTAGGAATGGTGATTACCTGTACGTTTCTCTCCCCCAAGAAGCCCTGCGCGCTTTCAAGCAGCTATGTATATGAACCTCTGAATCTAACCGGCAAAAACAAAACAGTCCCACCCGGTTTCAAGCCCAAGCCGACGCTATCAACCTAATTCACGCCGCAAAGACACAAGCCAACCCCGAATCGTCGGTCGGGCTGATGAGCATGGCCGGGAAAGGCCCAGAAGTCCTGGTCACCTTGACAGCGGACATAGGGAAGATTTTAGACGGGCTGCATCGAACGAAGATACGGGGACAGGCTCATCTTGCCTCCAGTATACAGGTTGCCGGTGTAAGCACATATCCCACCCTCACATCCGCCCCCCCTCACACACACACACACCCTTATCCCCTTACCCCTTCCATCTTCTTCCATCTACTTTTATTAGCATCTATAAAACACCTTCTAACCCGCTACAATTCATGATTGAAACCCGCCAACAGCTAGCCCTCAAGCACCGTCGAGAACGCGCCCAACGTCAACGAATTATCGTCTTTACCTGTTCCCCCATCGCCGAAGATGAAAAGATCCTCATCAAACTCGCAAAACGAATGAAAAAGTACAACGTCTCCGTAGACTTCGTGGCATTCGGGGACCTGGATGATGAAACCATTAAGAAACTAGAAGCCTTTAACGAAAACGTCAATGGCGCCGATGGCTCCCATCTTGCCGTAATACCCCCCAGTCCAAACCTTCTCAGTGACTCGCTTGTTGCGACTCCGATTCTAGGCGGTGATGGCACGGGGATTGGTCGGGGAGGGGGCGATGAGGAAGGCGAAGGTGGTGTCGATATTGGCTTTGATCCTGCCGCTGATCCGGAATTGGCGTTTGCGCTACGGATGTCTCTTGAGGAGGAGCAGGCGCGCATAGAGAAGGAGAGGAAGGAGAAGGAGGAGAAGGAGAAGAAGGAGAAAGTTGCTCTTGAAGGGATAGCGGAGGAGGGCGGCGAGTCGCAACCTCTCCTTGATGAGAATGGGGAGCCGAGTGGAAGTGGTTCCAATGAAGATAAGCAAGATGATAGAGACAAGGGAAATGATGGGGATAAGATGGATACGGCGTGATGAAGTGGATGGCTATTTTTTGTTTTCTTTATTATGGCCTTTTTATTTTTGTTATCGTTGTTTCTAGAGATCTAATTCCCGGTTCCTTTTTGACTCAATGCATTATTGGTGTCAGTTCTGTAAACCATAGACTCAGCGCAACGCCACATATCTATCCCGTCATGCCATTCCAGTTACTAGGTTACCACATAAACCAAACCACCATTTGAGTAAAATCTAAGCTTAAATGAAGCATTTTAAAATCATGTTCAAAGAAGAACAAAAAATAAAGCATTGAGGATTCGAAGTTCCCCCACATCCATAATCCTCAAGGGGAAGGGGGGGGGGGGGGGGGGGGATATGCCCAACCAACCGGCCAAGAAACACCACCACCGTACACAATCATAAAGCGTTATTTATTCTTGATATGCAACCTGCATGTTCCACCCATCCCATCCCATCCCATCCTCCCTCATCCTACCCCCTCCCCTTAACCCACCCCGTAACATGCCTATCAAACGCCTCACACCTTACAGGCATCTCCAACTGATAAAAAGGATTCTTCATCACATAGTCCGCATACAACTCATAAATCTTCCTCATAACCACATCCACACTCGCCGTCAGCGGATCCGTGAAGAGCAGAAATTTCGTCCCCGTCACCGTCTGGAAACATGTTAAGCGGAACTTCTCGGTCTCTAGTACTTCGATGCCGGTGGTTGGGAGGGTGGGGTTGGGGGTTGTAGTGTTGGGCGTGGCTGTGGGAGTTGTTGTCGTGGAGGAGGAGGTGGTGGTGGTGGTGGCGGCTGTGGTGGTGGTGGAGGAGGAGGAGGAGGAGAAGGTTGCGAGGGTGTGTGAAGGGGTTGTGGTAGTTGGGGCTGAGGTGAGGGTGGCGGAGTTTGTGGGGAGGCGCGGGGTGAGAGAGCGGGTTATGGCGTGGATTCTGTTGGGGGATCGTGAGAAGGGAGGAGTCAGCTGGATGGTTGGATCAAGTGGTCTTGGGGTAGGGGGGGGAAGAGCAGGAATTGTAGTTCCGATGTATGAAGTCAGTCTTATTTTCTTCTTGTGTATCCATTATACGCACCCATGAAATGTCCCCGCCAGCACCAGATAATCATTCGTAGACAGCTTCAGTAGTCCTGATTGGAACTCACGGTGGTATATTAGACCGCCCGCTTTGTTTATGATTATGAGAGTGTAGACGACCCTTAGAAACGGGGAAATTAGCAAAGGAAGGGTTTCTCCGGATTATACACAAGTTATCCCGACGTACATGGTGGTTGTTAAGAACTCCAGAAAGGAGCAATCTTGGCCTCTCGGGGGTTGAAATGGTCGGTATGGCGGAGGTGTGCGGAGAAATTGGTGATTTAGGATCGGAGAAAGGGAGTGCGGGATGAGGTATGCGGTATCTATGTGTTGCGGTTATGTGCAGTCTGTCAGAGCGATGCCGTTGAAATTGTAGTTAGATGTATGGAAATACGTGTTAGGATCGGAGGAAAGATTGTTTGGATATATTTGGTGGTTGTTCACGGAACGGAGATGTCATATCAGCTTGGGAAGTTTGGACCTACTACCTAAATTGCATAGAGCCAACGCTGTCGACTAGCTGTTTCAGGTACGGTGCTTATTTTTATCCAATGATCAGTGGGAATTAACATTAGTCAGCTGAAAGCACATTCGTTATAGTTAGTTTCTCACAGTCTTTCAACCAAATATGTTTGGGAAGAAAATAAGATAAAACATGCTATAAAGCAGTTATCAGCTTTCAATAGCCGTCAATATTGTTAGTTAGTCGCAGGGAGTTCTGGCACGGATAAATTATGTAACTACATCATCATACATCGCACTCCGCAATCGATACGCCCCTATCTACACTTCCGCTCCCAAATCGGGACACACGTAGAAAGAAAATTTATATCCAACTCGCCCTCGGTTAAGATCTCTTCGGCTTCCTTTCTCAATACCCAGGTAGATACCCCAAGTCCTCATCAGCTTGGCATTGCAGGGTGAAGCCTAGGTTGGCTGGCGGAGATACACCTATAATGGTAGGAAGCCCTCCTCTCTCCCCAGAAACGGCTCGTTGCCAACATTCATGTCAGGTGTCGAGTAATCCATTAGCTCATTTCATAAAAAAACCATTCATTTGACGCCGCAGCGGCGAGATTCGGTTCATATTGGTGATAGTGAACACTTGTCCAAACATCATCCGTGGAATCGTAGTTTCCATCTTTTTGGCTCTGTCGTTTTCTCAAGCACCTCACGCATCGCTTATGAAATCCAACAACTGGAACAGCAAATTATTCTCAATCTGACATCATCCTTCCCTAGGATCTCTAGCGTGTCTAAACCCACGGCTGAGCCACTGCTCAAATTACCGCTATGTCAATTTCTTTTGAAGTTTTTGTTGGATTATGACAATGAAGGCTTGGCTGCAGGGTGTGTGTCGTAGATTCATCGACCGCAGAGGCGGAATAATGAGAGCAGTTAGATGACTGGCAGCGTGAAGGTGTTCTGAGGTCTTGCAGTTGCAATGTTGGCAGTTGGACTGCAGGCAAGGATCGGGGTGGAAATAAGGTTAAGAGATGTGGGTATTCCAGTTACAAGCCCTGTTTCTGGAATGATGGTGTCAGGATGCTTGCTGTCGTATGCGACAGCTTCAGGTGAGCTAATAAGAGCCGGAGAGGGGCAACATCCTTTCGACGAGGTGTTGTCTACCCGTTAGAGGACAACCGAATTCCGCATAGGACTTGAATCGATATTTATGGCAGCAAGCAGAGAATTATCGGCAAGGCCAGAAGGCAGGGCCTTCGGTTCTTGCTCCTTTTCGTTCCCTGGGATATTGCCATCATTGTCCGGTTCGCTAGTCGATATCGTCGTAAACCCGGAGTTTATATGGCCTCTCGAGAACTCCTCAGCATGGTAAGGAGGATGGGTGGGATTTGCATGTGATCAATTCAGAATTTAAGCTGGCGATTTGCGCATGGGCTTGAGCGAGCAGACAACGTTGCGTTTCTTCAACCGTTCGCTGCAGGTTGCTATGTACTGACGTCGCCGCTCTCGACAGCGGCGTTGATTGTTGCGAGAGTGTAGTCATGGCTCTTATTTTGTGCGCAAGTTGTTAGTGTGGAGTGTAGATATTGCCATTGTGATGAACCAGAAAAAGAGTAACTAGAGTAAACAGATATTATCTGCAAATTTGGCGCTGCCATGCGCAAGGCATGAATATCATAGTCTGTCATCCAGATTCAAGAGAAGGTTAACTACGCCAAGACCAGTGACATCAGCTTCGGCTTTGAGACTTTGACCCAACCTGTGCAGCGCGTTGGTGTACTGCAAGCCATTAACTACACAACTGAATGAATGAATTAAGGAATGAAGAAAGGATTTTTAAACAATTCTCAATCAAAACTGTTATGGCGATTTTTCTTATTCCTTTGTAAAAGTTTAGCTGCGTCGACATTTCTTTTTCTTTTTCTATTTCTGTTTTAACTACTTTGATTATCAAGGACAAATCTGACCAGAATGTGATCGCATTTATACATTTTTATTCACCCCCTAATTGTAACCGTATAACGACTCCCCCTGCTTTCTATCAAGAGAAAAACAGGAAAAGTTTATGTTATGGGTACGATGGGTTCTTTTCTGGAGAATGAAGTTATCTAGTGGCAGATAAACTCGGCTGGTGGGACCTGACGGTCCACTATAGACGCAGCAGTGACATATCGTCCATGAGGTGCAGGTGACATAACATCTATTATTTCCGCAATGAAGGGACGATTTCATGGTCTATATAAACCACCTTGAGTCTCTCATAAACCATAGAATAACATCAGCCTAGCTTTTATTTATTTTTTAACACATTTATTTCTCTATTTTCCATCATGTCCGAATCCCAAATCTACGATCACGTCCAGAAGCACTATAGCTCTGCCGCTAAAACCAGCGACGAGAACTATGGCCGTGATGTTGCAAAAGCTTTTGGATATTCCAAAGAGGAGCTTGCCAGTATTCCCCAGGATGCTAATCTGGGCCTAAGCTGCGGAAATCCGCTCGCCCTGGCCCAATTAAGGGAGGTTTGTGTAACTTCACCCCGAGGAAGCACGGTGACTTTGATGCAGTATACTGACTCGAGAAAACCAGGGAGAAACCGTGATAGATCTCGGTAGCGGAGCGGGAATCGACGTATTCCTTGCTTCCAAAAATGTCGGTCCAAATGGAAAAGTATATGGCATTGACATGAACAAGGCGTGTATATACCCTCCTCACATATCCTTCTACCACACCCACCCTCTTTCGTTTGCTCCATCAAAGCAACAAAATCAAACTAACCTGCCTCGACACAGGATATGCTCGCCCGCGCAAACCTCAACAAGGAAAGAACCGGGGCTACAAACGTCACCTTCGTCGAGTCACAAATCACTGCCATAGCCCTCCCGCACGGCATCGCCGACTGTATCATCAGCAACTGCGTTGTCAACCTCGTCCCGGAGCCCGACAAGCAGCTCGTCTTTAATGAGATGGCCCGTCTGCTTAAATCGGGTGGTCGCGTCGCTATCAGTGATATCCTGGCCAGAAAGGAGCTGACGCCGGAGCTCAAGCAGAGCATCGCCCTGTATGTCGGCTGTATTGCTGGTGCTAGTAAGGTGGGAGATTATGAGAAGTATTTGAAGGAGGCTGGGTTTAGTGGTGTGTTCCTCCTTCCCTGTTTTATATATTTATTTTATCATGCCTCTCAGCTTTGTTCCTTCTAAGAGCTTTCGAGGACGGTTTCTGCAATACCTACGCCAGTGGCCACATGCTTATCTGATCCATTGTCCACTAGATATCCTCATCGTTGATGCGAAGAATGATCTGAATGTCTATACCTCCGCACTTGGTAATCCCGAAAGTGCCAGTGGTGGCTGCTGTGGCGAAGTGAGGAAGCCGGATCCGTCAACCTCTTGTTGTTCGGGTGCTCCAAAGGAGGAGCGCAGGTCGGCGGTTTGTTCTAAGACATTCAAGGCCGACTTCAAGAATATCGACTTCAACGAGTGGGCGGGTAAGAATTTCCTTTCTTCTTCATTTCCTCGCCCCCTTGAGCCTATGTCTGAAATTGCATCTCTCAACAACTAACTTGGGATGATATAGGTTCGTTTAAAATATACGCAGTCAAGGGTTGAAGACCGTACGTACTTGCTTCACTCAATCCGGGTTGCCGTTGAATGTTTGGTATAAGTTCGTTGAAATCACTCAGGTATCGAGTGTAAAGAAGGGGAGGACGATGACATGTTTGTCGCCTTTTAAGAATAGCAAAACTCTAGTTTCAGCTTCCAGTTCCAACACGTGCATTAGATTAATTTTCAAGTAGAGTGGAAACTAATCAGTAGACAGACAGTCGAGTCAGACAGGGGATAATTACATGGCCGATATACGGTCTGTCTGTCTGTAAAACAGCCGCACTTCCTTCAGTGTGGCTGAAATATTTAATACTTTCCAGCTCATCGTATAAACGCCGATGCAAGTAGAGAGCGGCTGGATAAATGCCACGGAATCCACGAAAGGAAGTAACATCGAAATAATTATAGAAAGATTGATAGAAAGATTGATAGACAGATGTCTTGTCTTAGCTGTTAAATGATGCAGCGATGAGATCCGCCATATCAACCAAACCAACCAAATTGGCAAACGACTCATGTTTCTAGGAGCCCAGGGCCTCAGTCACGGCGTCTTGCTGGTATTTCGCCATGGAGATGCAATCGAGCATTGCCTTGGTATTTATTGTCGAACCTCGTTGAGCTGAATCTTTTATTTAGTTACCTGTACCTTAAAAGTCAGTTGGTTATCCACGTGTGCTAAGTTTAATATCGTAACTGGTTATTTTTTCTTCATGTCTCAGCTCCTTCATAAAACCCGAACATATTTGCTCACTTACTCACTTACTCTGGTCTGGACACACCAGAATGAAGTGGAGCACGGAGGTCAAGGTAATAGAAAAATGTCTCTGAAAATAATAGCTGTCAAGCCGAACGACTGCTTAGAGTTAAACCAACACAGGGGCATTTGCCGCCGAACCTTCATTTAGCGCTGTGGAGGGCGGGAAAGTCTTAAAAGGTTGCCCTTCCAAAACCGCCTTTAATGAAAAATGTGATCTAGAAGTGCTAATATTTTCTAAAGAAATATATGCGCCATGCACACTTTCTGTCCATGATAGGTTTTGGATGTTATAAAAATACAGGCAACAGTCCCTCCCTGATTTCTCAACCTGCACATAGGGGTTGAGTGTAACAGTTATAGATTTCAGTAGTTCAAGTTCATCTGATTAATTTCATTACCACGCCAAAATTAAACAGTGTCCATAGACGGCGTATATGTAAGTTCAAACAATCTGTGCAAATAAATATAAACTGGAATTTCATAAAGTGTAACACCGTTACCCTCCCCAGGAACATGGCTGTTGAATATCGATTATCACCATGTAAACAAATCCACACCCACACCCATAGCCATTCAAATGCAAGAATATTGAGTAATACATTATTACCGTGGCAAGCGATAATCGAAATCCGCCATGCCATTCCCATGAGCAAAATCACTACCGAAATCACCCCGTCCATCTGAGTCCTGGAAATCTGAAAGGTTCTCCTTCGCGACCCAGGAAAGATAGACAGTCTCGTTGACTTGGATTGGCGGTCCGTCAATGGGAGGATCACGTTGGAAGGCAGGCTCTCTTTGAATCGTAAATACAGTGCCGTTTCTCTTCTCTATTCGTTTGGCAACAGTCATGAACCCAAGCCACCATAATGCCCCGAATGCTATTGCGCACCAGCTAAGAAGTGGTACCAGATACCATTTTACTCCCGTATCGCTAGCCGGCTTGAATACCCTACTAGGCTCCACCCAGGCGACGATGACGGGAAATAAACTTCCAACCAGATAAATAAAGGCCGCCGTAACACTGAGGAATGGGTTTATGCCTCCAGCCTTTTTTTGCCATTGCTGCTTGCTGCTAAACCGGAGGTACAAAATTCCAGCTGCGAGGAAGTTTCCAAAAAACGCATGTACTGCATAGGTATACACTGACGAGAGTAATTTATATGCATTGCTCGGCTCCACGGAATAGGTAGCGAGAATCATAATAAGGCAGGATGCGAAATGAAGCACCAGCGCGCCCACAGGTGTTTTTTCCGTGTGGTGTTCGGGAGCGAACCAGGATGATTTTAATATTCCGCTTAACAACAGAGCAATAGCAGGACGGCGATGAGCCCATCGAAGAAGCCGTCCAAAAGAAAAATCACGGTTTTTGGCAAAGAACTGGGGAAATGGTAAAATTCCTTCCTTTGCCACTTCCTGCTTCACTCGAGCCGCCGTGTAAGTCATCACAACTATATTCCCAAAGCTAGAAATAGCGAGGAAAGCGTTGAAAATCCGCTGGCCTGTGTTGTCGCCACTACTCAATCTTCCAAAAGTGATCTCGAAAAACCTTTCTGCTAGGTTCATGTGTATATCGATTTGCTCATTTCCGGGCACGATAGCCATCTGGTGGTTGTTAGTGAATACACCCCATATTAGTTAACTAAAATTTGGGGATTCATACGTATGCAATGTTGACACCCATGTAAAGTAAGCCGACTACAGAGACAGAAGTAATCATAGACACGGGGAAATTCCGTCGCGGCTTTGAAATCTCACCCAGGACCTGCATAGAATGGAGTTTAGAGTCATGAATACACCGACTAACTGACGGAAACAAAGCCACTTACATAATTGGGTTGTTCGAAGCCGCTGAAGGTAAAAACTGGAGACAATGTCAGCAGGGGAACAGAAAAATAAGGGGCCAGTGTATCAACAGACTGATTAATAAGAAAGCATTGGCATAGTCATTGGCCTGATTCGAGGCGTTGTGAAAGGAATGCTTTATGTAGAAGTTCTCGCGAGCGTAAGACTTGGTTTCAGGAAAAGCACCAGTGGCAGCAACAATGGCAGTAATAATTATCAGGAATAGCATTGCCAGCTTTACTATGGCAAATAAATTGCTCAAAAGAATGCCTCCCCGACGGGAAAATGTGTGAATGAAGCAGGTAAAAAGAGCTACAGCGGCGGAGATTCCTCGAACAGCACTGTTGGTCACCTCTGCGTTTGAAGCCTGCAACGCCTTGACTGCAAAGTAAATGCAGTTTCCAGCAACGTTGCCAAACAAGATGAACACGGTCCCGAAGGTGGTGACGGAAAGCAGCACTGTATCCTTGCGATATCTCGGTTTTCGGTAGACATATTGAAGCTGTACAGCGTTCAGTATCCACGCATGGTCGAGTCGTCATGAACAGGGAGTGAAAGAGCTTACATAGTTCAGGTCGCCTCCACTTCTGGGGATACCCTGTTTGACGCCTTCAAATTGGCGTCTGGGGACACTGAGGCCGTATTCAATGTAGAGATGTACTCCAGCAAGGCAGTATATAACGCCAAAGAACCAGAATATCAGTGAAACCCCAACGCTCTGGGTCCCTTTGACAACTAAACCAACAGACGAAAAGATCCCCGTACCTGATTGATAGGCACAGTACAAGTAAATAAGCAGCTGGTTCTGGATGAACAGGGAAATACTGGGAGCAGGAAGTTCAAATATAATTCCTAGGTTGGTGGAATCAACGCATACCTATCATCCTATTGACGACGAGACAGCCAACGTCGAAGCGGCCCAATCGGAAGGGCTCTTCAGGGGCATTAGTGACAATTGCATTGGGATCATTGTCGAAATCGTCAGGCCGGTATCGATCGCTATCGCTATCGGAAATACGAGGATGGTCTCCATTAAGGGCTGTTGTTAGAGTCATTGTCGCGGATTCTAATCTCCCACGCAGCACATAGCCGTGGGTAGTGGTTTATAGGGGTTGGATGAGTTGGTTTTGTGTTGTGAATTCAGAGGGACAACATTATCTCAACAACAAACCAGCCCCTTATTTGATATAGCTACCTCTGTGAAGAGAAGAACGGGATGAGAGAAAGCAAAAGAAATATAACCACGCGCTTGTCACTTCTCTTCTGCCGCCATTCTGCCTCGCGGTGGTCCTCTGCAGGCGCATTATAAATTCATTGGGGCAACCTCCCACCATCCATGCAGAGCCGCATCTCGTCTTCATCCCCCATCTCTTCGTTTAGCCGGATAATCGAGGTCTCGAAGGACACCAAGAATGCTCCGGTCCTTCAAGCTTGTTTCCGCCTTGCAGGACAATAGCCACATATCTAGGGTTGACTTCCACGCCAACGACGCCACAATGCAGACAGAGGCATTAAATATCAAACCGGCCTTGGCGAATCACTGGATAATCACCACTCAGTTCGGTGAGGCTGCAGATAAAAGAGCTTCGACTCGCATAACTGCTTGGCTCACTACCTTTCCCTCGGCTTCAACCATGTCGGGTGAGCACAAAGCAATTGTTTAGAACCACATTGGTGCGCTGCTCGGTCCAGGTTGCTCCTCATGCAACTTGGGGAAATATCATAATTTGTGCAATTCATTTACCAGGCAAAACAAAGAGCACAAGGAACGACTCTTTCTTCAACCCTAGACGCGATCATGGTTTAACTATCGACCCGTCAGCTGTGCTGCTGTGAAACCGGAAGAGGGGAATCCGTCTTTGCCTACCAGGATATCTCTGAAGTAGTTATCCCCCATATTCGCACAGCCTTTCCCTCTGTCCTCGTCATCATCCAAGTCCCTTAGAGCTACCATCAAGGCAGGGTTTCTGCATTTCATCCCAGAGCTCGGTTACTGCACTACAAGAATCCATTTATTTATCAGGCCAAAAAGAACGACAGCATAAAAAAGAAAGAAACAAAAAAGAAGAGAACACAAAAGTTGACCCATCCTGTTCACCAAACCAGTAATTCCGGAGTAGTTGCATAAACACTGCCTATCAAAGGCTAAATCCGATAATCGCGGGGCCAGCCATCTTCAATGGCTGTCCCTTTCCAGATCAGCGACATCTTGGTCTTAAGTCAACTGGCTTGGAAGGTATATAATTTCGCATTTGAGAGGAAGTCAAGACCAAGTAAGTGTTGGATATCGTCATTATGGTTGCTTTCTCGTGAATAAGATTCCCATGGTTCCAATTCATCTACGTCCGCCGTTGAAAATCACGAGCGCATTGTCAACGTTCTGTCCTCATAATTCACAACCGAATTCCTGGTGAATTTATCACATTTCTCACATAAAGGTGAAATCACAGGCACCCAATATGCAGACTTCGTCAACGATGTTAGGTCTCTTGCGACAAACTTGGAAAACGTCTATCGCGTGGCCTCAAATGCGGCATCCCAAGTCGAAGTCGGAACCTTGGGACGGCCCAGGGACTCGACAAAAATATGGGACTTGAGGTCTCTAAATGAGATAGTTGGAGATTACCACAAAACACTACGGGATTGTGAAAAGTTGATTCGAGACAACTATCGATACAATAATGCATCCAGTCCCCGTCAAGGTATCTCGTGGAACGTCCTCGTCCAGCCAGATGTTGAACGCCTACGGAACCGGATATCGTTACACAATCTGAAGATTTTATTCGTCCTTAAGCCATTTGAAATCGATCTTCTATTCCGCATCCATCAAGATCTCGCCGGCAGAATGACTAGTATGCATAACGACCTGCGACGTCTCATGGGAGTTATGGTCCCAGATTTCAAGGAAGAAATGAAGCATCAACAGACCCTACAAACCTTTACCATCGAGATACCTTCCAATTTTTCCCTTAAGTTTCAGCAAGCTGCGGAGATTAACCATCCTGAGTTTGCTAGTGGAAGTCAACTCCCTGTCGCGGATACGGCAAATTCATTTGTTTTCTATTTTGGAAGAGGCACACGGAACCTCAATGCATCTCGATTCGATTCGATCGACCGTAGGACTGCCTCTGTAACTGCCTACGTCAACTTACTGAAATGCATCTGGCTCATGGAACACTTGGACAAATACCATAATGCAGAAGGTTCGGGTTTATCGCACTGGCCGTCGTATTTAAAGGGTCTTAATCAGGTAGGTATAATCATCTTCTCTGACAGCGCAGGCAATAGACTAACACCACGATAGGAATTATCACACGAGTGTAAACGGTTTTCTCCCGAGTGTATGGATAGGATATTTGCTCCAGACTTGTCTCGGGCGAGGTTAGATCCATCTGTATTCGATATTTGGCCAGAAATCCGCAGGGCCAGTAATCTTCCCTTAGGACACCTTCGAAAGCAACCGATGAAGGAAATCATCAATGTGTATGCGATTCTCAGTCCTGTTTAGTAGCCTTCTCTCTAACTAAGGTCTAGCCCCCTTAAGAGCGACACACCATCTGTCGTCACATCTCTAAAGCTTTTACAGATTTTGAACGGCTCACCTTCACAGTATCGATTGATTGCCACGGCTGAGGAGCAGCTGGAAAATGGGACGGTTAAACCTGAAGGTAACTAGTTATCAGTTTTCCTCTGTAAGAATGCTCTAACCTTTTTCTCAGAGCGCGTTATCGAAGTTAATCTTGAATCAGCGTCACTGATTCCACTCTACGCAATGCCCACTTTTAATCGTGACACAAATGATATCCTGCTAAGAACTCCGAGTGAAGACACAAGATTTTCATTTCCTTCCTTAAAAGACCTCCTTCGATTCCAGCACGCTTTTACGGGGTTCAAGCCATATCTTTTCTACTCCCAGTATGTTTGTTTTTTGAATATCCCAGAAATTCATATCTTGAATGATCTAACTTGGACTAGAATGGATGTAAAGGTTGCATACGTCGTGTCTAACGAAAAACCCGTTGTTGAAGATGCCGTCTTACAACTTTGGATACCCAAACGATTGGAGGGATATTTACTCAACGAGGAGCAGATTCCAGCTGAGGAATCTTGGCTAGAACTCAGGGAAACACTCCCAACAAGCCCATTGTCAATTCCTTCAAACAGTGCTCCATCCGCTCCACTCAGCATGTTCCCTGGGAGCCCTCCTAGCCTATTCTCTAGCATAAATCATTTCAGTGCACAATCTATCGACCAACGATCACTTGGCTCCATGAGCAATTGTACACCTCCGTCAGGCTCCAGTCCTGGGTCTTCGGGTAGTAGGGATTATGACCCACGCAGAAGTTACCCTTCCTTGACCAATTATCCCAGCCGGAGAATGTCTACAATGGGCAGCGTCGTGAGCAAGTCCAGTCAAAACACGGTAACCGTGCTTAACATGGGTGATACCAATGGTGTTCTTCATCAGAAACCTATCCGGCCGGCCCTTGTAATTTTCTCAAGGAGCGCGATCGGTTCCAACGAGTTGGCAATCACTTCCATCAGGATTGATGAAAAGACAGCAGTTAACACAGAACGGTGCGACTGTCGGAAAGCTAACAGCTCGTGTGCCATCACCTCTATTGAGCAGTCCAAGGGGAAGTCGTGTCTAGAGGCTCAACGTTTTGTTGCGAAGGAAGGAGTCGAAGATTTTGATGTAGGAAACCTGGGCTTCGCACGGCGCAAAGAATACCCTCACGCCGAATTCAAGGGGCTAAAACGGGTAAGCATCTCCTTCAGGAGTTCAGATGGTATGCAAAATCCCCTTCCATCAAGCGTCAGTCAGGATATTTAACTCGAGATCACGGCGCGGTAACTGATAGAACCTCTTTAACACAGAGCGCAAATCGTTCGCGGGTTATAAGTGCGGATGCAAATCGAACACCTGGGGCAATTTGAACAAATGCATTGGGGCTGGTCATCAAGGCATCTTGGGTGAAGTTAAAGCCGTTGGCCAGCAAGAACTTCGGGCATACCACCGAGCAGGTGAAAATCATGCAGATATCGTCATTGGACAAGCCCCAACTGCAGTGTGATTGTCAAAATTAAGATCCTAAGTTATTGTTACTGGGAGTTATTTGACTACCAAGACAATTAAGCCCGCCACGAACAACCAAATTTAAAATGAAAACCATCGACTACAATGTCTGAAAGGAATCCGCCGCAGATTTGGAATGTGCGAAGAAGAAAGAAGAGGTAGAGTGCTTGAATTGTCTTGTTCCGGATTTGCACTTAACATAGGTGCAAACAACTAACCAGCAATTGTAGAAAACAATGGCCCATGATTCTATAACGCTTCCACCCCGAAATTGCGAAATACACTAAGGACTCACCGATGCCTGCCCACGGAATTCATTCTCGGCTGAGAACCTTTGGAAGAATTATATGACTCATCTAATCGTTAACAGAAATAAGGTAACCGGGGTGATTATCAACCACCTAACAATGGCGGTAACCTGGGGCAGAGCACTGATCGGCTCGAGAATTGCATTTTATGGACTTGAGGAAAGCGTTTCGCTCAACAGCTAGGTGCAAGGTTGCAGGTGGTGTCCGTCGCGCGAAGACAGGGAGAGTAGATATATATACTCAGAAGGTCCGACTTTGGGAGGAGGAATTTGATGGGATACCAGAGAGAAATGTGCTGATGTTGGTGACCAGGACGTGGTGGAGAATACTCCGACTGACTCAATAGTCCTGTACTTCCATATATTTGTATTTAGGAAAGTTTGTACAGTACGACCAAAAGAAGGGATCTGACTGTCACCATGAAGATAATTGAGTTATAGAGATTGTTACTGACAAAGGTAGATGCCGGTTACATAACTGAAATTTGAAGCGACAATAAAACTTTGCCATTTTATCTTTCAACATAATTTAGCTTTACTTCGCTTCTTCGCTTGCTTATCATATACAATCAGAATGGGTATGTTGACAAGGTCTGATATACTTGGATGCCCCATACCATAAGGATTGAACCTTTTTGTCCAGTAATTGACCCCCATACATCTGTACTCACCTTTTTATCAAAAAGCAGAGGCCCCCTATCCACCTTCAACCCCTCCAATTCTAACAACAATAGACTTCGCACATCAACCAAGGCGTCCTCGTACAGCCTAACAAAACCCATCTCACCCCTCATCTCCATCATGAAGACATAGAGAACTTAAATTAAAGCGAAGAGAGTCATACATCGAGAAAACGCCAAGCGCTTCCTCTCGCTCACCTTCCCACCTCTCTCCCTCTCTCTCTTCCTTAACCCACACGAGTTCCAAACCAACCATCACCGAACCTGCCAAACCCACAAATCCCTCCCCACAAACCACTCTTCTCCCCCCACAAACATTATATACAGCACATATCCTAAGCCAATATGTATATATATATATATATATATATACATGAAAAAATAAATAGCCAGAAAAGTTTTCTCTTAAACGGCTATTTCACCGACAACTCCCAATCGACCGATCCAGCACCCGGAAAATCTCCATATTGCTCACCTGGCACGAAACGGCACCAGGCGTACAGGCCAGCTCAGCGCGAACGGAGTCCGCATCGCCGTGCCCGCGCATGCCCGCGATGATGCTGGCGGCGACTTCACAGGACGTGGTGTCCGGGGTGGGAGCGGGGAGGGTGGCTGTGTTTACGTTTACGTTTACGAGTTGGTTTAGGTGTTGGTGAAGCTGCGGCTGCGGGTGCATGCAGTGGGTAAGGTGGTGGTTTGGGATGGTGGAAGCCCGGTAAGGGTGCGGATGGGTTGGGGTGAGGGGTCTGTGGAGCTGTGGTTGCAATTGTTGATGTTGTTGTGGGAGAGGAAGGGGGATGGGGATGGGGATGGGGATGGGGATGGGGATGGGTTGGTTCTGGTTTTTAGTCTGATTTTGGTTCTGGCTATGGCTATGGCTATGGCTATATGCGACTGCGCATTGAAGTGCGGGTGAGTATGAAGTGTACGATGGTTGGGGTGGTTGTTGGTTACTGGAGGAAGTTGGGCTCAGGCTTGTGTTTGGGAAACTACCCGGGGAGTACGAGGAGGACGACGAGCCGGAGACGGAGAGGGGCAGGTTGTTGGCATTTCCGTTGTTTTCTAGGTGGTGAGGAGCTGGGGGGAGGGAATTTGGTTCTGATGGGTAGTAAGGAGAGTAATTATCCAATTGGGATGGAGTTTGGTTCTGGTTCTGGTTATGGTTAAGGGTGTTTTGGAAAACAGCCGTCGTTGATGTCGCTGTAGATATTGTGGGGATTGCATTTTGGAGCTGGGCAAACCCCATCCCGACTGCATGGCTGCCGTTATTCTGGCTCGGGTTCATATTCACGTTCAAGTTCCCATTTCCATTTGCATTTCCGCTCCCGTTCATATTCATATTGTCGCCCTCATCCACGGTCGCTTGGGCTATGTACCCCTCGATCTCCCCCGCAGTGACCCCTCTTAGCCTCAGCAGCGACCTCAACAGCGCATTCTCTCTCGCGACCTTCCTGGCAGCAGCCTGCACCTCAATGGTCACATGGACGCCCTCCTGCTCGAACTTGTGCACCCGCCGCTCGAGATCCTGCTGGTACTCCTTGCGACGGGCGCGGGATCGTCGTTGGTTGTCGCGGATCCGGATGGAGTTTGTGGTTGGCTGGGTCATTGGCTTGGAGTTACCATTATTATCATTATTTTCGTCGCCATTAGTATTAGTATGATTTTCAACTCTATGCCGCATGAGAGCTTTGGGTGACATTGCTTAGCCTTGGGCTTTTTTTTTTGTGGAGTCGGTTTGCTGGAGGTTGGGGAATGGAGGTTATATTAGGTAGTCCGTGGAGGCCTGAAGTTTGGTCATCTGGCCAATGGGGAAGCATCCGTGACATATCGACCTCCTGTCAAAACCGTTAGCGAAGGTTGATATCAAACTGATGGGGCATGAGGATGTTCATTTTGCATTTTGATGCATTTATCTACATGCAATTACTTCTCTTGCGATCGTCATATTTCATGTCAATTCTGCTCCGCGATAGAGCATATGAAGAAAAGAAATGGCCTTTTCCCTCGAATCAGTGATAGCTTTTTGCTGGGAGTTGTGGGTCGTGTTTATATTAATATGTATGTATATATGTATGTATGTACTGCTGTACCCATAGAACCTCAAGATTTAATCAGCGAGGAGAAATGAAGTGAGTCCAAGGCATTAAAGACCGTTGTGGTGAAATGTACACCTTTTTCATTGATCTATCAGGACAGAATCTGAGGTTTGTTCATGGCTTGGACAAGAGGTTCTATGGACGTCTATATGTCCACTTTTGGAGGAAACTTCTTGCGTTCGACTGATTGAGAATCAACTGGTTGAGAAGAGAATTTACAAGACAGAGTGAAAAGAGGAGACGAGAGAGAGAAAGGCAGAGATCTTGCCGAATTGCCTTTTCTTTTCTTCATGTATCTGTAGAAGATGGCTTTCTACATACAGCTGGAGACGAAGATCTCGAGAGCGTTTCGCATCCAATAGCTATGGATATACAAACATGACTGACCAGGGTGGACTTTTGATATCAAAGACCGGTCCTATAGCTCAGTTGGTTAGAGCGTGGTGCTAATAACGCCAAGGTCGCGAGTTCGACCCTCGTTGGGACCATCAAATAGTCCTTTTGGCTCATTTGCTTTTTCTATTCCTACCCAATCAACACTTGGATCTTTTTGCCGCTATATCTAGATACCCGCCAGAAAGCGCCGGAATCTCTCACAACATTGCAAAACAGATTTGACAAGGTTTTGAACAGCTATGTGTGTTTTTTAAGGTTTTTCGTGAGTTACAACTGAATCTCAATCAGGAACAGCCTTTTTTTTTTTTTTTTTTAATTAAAAGCAAGAGCTTCCATCTCGCTGCCCTATATCGATCCTCCTGGTATGAGTGACCCATGTACTTCATCCAAATCATGAAGGGCAAGGACCGACCGCTTCTTATCAGTCAATTTTCATGAAAATTTTATCGTAATAGTATGAAGGTACTAACCGCTCATGGAGTCTTGCACCGGTTTAAAGATGGGATGAACCAAAAAGGTGCGAAAGATATAGAATAGATATTGGACACTGCGAAATTTGTTTGAACACAAAAAAAGTGGCCGTAGGGGAGAGCCAGAAAGGGGAAAAAGAAACTAATCATTTAGATGGTCCCAACGAGGGTCGAACTCGCGACCTTGGCGTTATTAGCACCACGCTCTAACCAACTGAGCTATAGGACCGGTCTGCCTTGGAAATAAAATACTGCTCCAAAAGTTTAACTAGACTCTACACTGTGGTTTAATGCAAAAGTCCCATCATGGATGATCGGGGCACAAAAGAAGCAGATCCACACGAGGAGAAGGGGGAGGTTCTGCAAATATATTCCTGTGTTAAGCTATTGGCAGCTTGGCCTTAAGATTCGTATGTCAGTACAGTTCCCCCTTACAGGGTCAAGGAATGGATATCATCAGTGTACTTTCCTCTGAACAATAGTGCATGTTATGTGAATGCCGGTCCTTTGGATGCTAAATGTAGATAAAAGTATGTTGGACAAGATCTAAGGCATTATGTCAAGTTACCCTTGGATGGGGCAATGGATATCTACAGGCAGCTATGCATCGGAGTGGAGAAAAACAATCAAAGGATCTCTGCACGCTAGGGCTGCATCGGGCATGGCTGTGTTGAAACCTGGGACAAGGCAGACCCACAGAAATTAACTATGTAGGGGAACGGCGTCGACAACAAACTGTCATAAGCTGGGCAGGCATTTACTATCATCAATCAATATATCACACATTTCTTGCAAACAAACTCTATTAACCTTCGTAACCTTCTTCAAAGCCTGGCACGGGTTCCAGCGGCATTTGTTTTGTGCGTTAAACAACAGGTAACTTAAGGCGAGGTACCCAGGAACATATTGGCAACTTCAGCTGCGGAAGCTTTAAACATCCAACAGCAGCCAGGCTGGAATGAAAGAAACCAAGCAAGGACTTTCATCTGTATCACAAGTGTCCTCTGTTCCCACGCTCTGCTCATCTATCTATCAAGCTATATATTTTATTTTTGCCCACTGTAAAGCCATCTTCCTTCTGTTCTCTATCTCCCTCTCTTGAATCCAAACAAGAGATTATGCTGTATTCCCGTTCTCATGCCATGCTAGCTACTTAGGTAAACGCCTTTAAACCCCATAGTTACCAATATCTGCATCTTTGCACCTGGTCTGCCGCTGCTGGTGCCTCCAGGACTGTTTTGTATCACCCTAACTTTGTTTCAATCTTCACTCTTCTCCAATTTGCCCGGGAAACATTCCAAGCATCCAGACCTTCATCCAGAGCTTCAAGAACACTTTGGACTTTCAGATTCACTGTTTCTGTCCAGACTTATATATCTCTTAAATCTATTTCCCCCCCCCCCCCCCCCACCCCTTCTTCTCCTTTCTTTATTTTTTT